TTGTGTGTGAATTTTTATGCAATAAGCATAAATAGTTTCTGACATACGGCGTGACAGGCGAAAACCCCCTTTTTTACAAAAAACTCAATATCTCTAAAATAAAATTTTGAATCAAAACCAAAAAGTATAAATATCTTTAGATTAATATAACTAAGACGTCTGTAAAATTTTAAGCAATAATCATAAATCGTTTTTGAGATACGGCGCGACATGTGAAAACCCCCCTTTAAAAAAAAAATCAATATCTCAAAAATAAAATTTTGAATCAAAACCAAAAAGTATACAGATCTTTAGATTAATATAACTAAGAAGTGTGTAAAATTTTAAGCAATAGTCATAAATCGTTTTTGAGATACGGCGCGACATGTGAAAAACCCCTTCCCCCTTTTTTAACAAAATACTCAATATCTCTAAAATAAAATTTTGAATCATCACCAAAAAATATACAGATCTTAAGGTTAATATAACTAAGAAGTGTGTAAAGTTTTAAGCAATAATCATAAACTGTTTTTGAGATACGGCGCGACATGTGAAAAACCCCTCCCCCTTTTTTAACAAAATACTCAATATCTCTCAAGTAAAATTTTGAATCATCACCAAAAAGTATACAGATGTTAAGATTAATATAACTAAGAAGTGTGTAAAGTTTTAAGCAATAATCATAAATTGTTTTTGAGATACGGCGCGAAATGTGAAAAAAAACACACACCTGTTTTAGTTACTAAGTCCCGTAACTCAAAACTTTTAATCTTATTTTCACCAAAAAGATACAGATCGTTTGACCATCATAAGAAACAACTATGTTAAGTTTCATGAAATTTGGATAAGTCATTCTCAAGTTACGGTGCGACAAGTTTACGCCGGACAGACAGACGGACAGACGGACAGACAGACGGACGGACACCGGAATTTGTATACCATAATACGTCCCGTCAAAAATTGACGGGCGTATAAAAACTCCAAGAATTCAATTTTTGATGAAATCAAACAAAGTTTAATTTTGGACCATTTGGACCTCAATGTAGACCAATTTGATAACGTGGCCCAAAATCCAAAATCTTAATACACAGTTAGATTCAGCATACGAAAGAACCCCATATATATTCATTTTTTGTAAAAATCAATCTAAGTTTAATTTTTGACCCTTTGGACCTTAATGTCCACCAATTTGAAAAACGGTGCCCAACATTCAATATCTAAATACACGGTTAGATTCAGCATATAAAAGAACCCCAAGAATTCAAGACTTTGACCTAAAAGACTTTGAATTAAACCCCACTGAAATTGATCAAGAAATAGGCAATTTATACAAAGTATTAGAAAAAGTATTGTTTTTGGCTCCTTTTTCCTAAACGGTTAGAACCATAACCCTCAAAATCAATTCCAACCTTCCTTATTTGGTATGGAGCCTTGTGGTTCAATTTCATATAGATCCATAGACTTATACTCAACTTTCTGTCCGGAAACCAGAAAATCCTATTTTTTTTTGTTCCCTGTTGGCCTCTAATTCCTTAACGGTTTGAGCCATAACCCCCAAAATCAATCCTAACCTTCCTTTTGAGGTATATAACATTGTGGTACAATTTCATAAAGATCCATACACTTATACACAAGTTATAGTCCTGAAACAAGAAAATGCTTGTTTTTGGACCGTAATTCCTAAACAATTAGGACAATAATCCCCAAAATCAATTCCGATCTTCCTTTTGTAGTATGGAACCTTGTGGTACAATTTCATAGAAATCCGTTTTCTGATACTCAAGTTATTGTCTGGAAACCAAATGTCTTCGGACGACGACGACAACGTCATACCATCATACGACCGCAAAGATTTTGCGGTTGTTTAAAAAAAATGATTATGTTTTTGGATGCCTACATAAAAGTCACCAAAACCCAAAACTGTGTAAATAACCCATTTACATGTCTGCAAACAACAGCAGGACAACAGGGTCAATAAAAACAACAAACGGTTAACAGACACATCAAATAAGCATATTTAAAAAAAAAGCTTTGAACCTGTATATTTAGGACCATTCACAAGGACGGATACGAGCTACTAGTTTCAATAACGGTGTTCATAATATTCTAGCCTGAACGGGTATTGCCTTGCGGCAAACGGGAAATTATTATATTTTCTTAAAATTTTTGTTAGCTATATTTCCATTCGATAATAGTAAAACAACTAAAAATCTAGTAAATTCATATAAAAATAAGAAGATAGAAGATGTGGTATGATTGCCAATGAGACAACTCTCCACAAGAGACCAAATGACACAGAAATTAACAATTTAAGGTCACCGTACGGCCTTCAACAATGAGTGAACCAATACCGCGTAGTCAGCTATAAAAAGCCCCGAATGACAATTGTAAAACAATTCAAGCGAAAAATTAACGGCCTGATTTATGTACAAAATAATGAACGAAAAACAAATATGATATACAGCAACACACGACACTTGACTTGTATTGGCAGATTTATGTTCTGCCAATACATTGACTGATTAGACTGAAATAAAAATAAAATAAAAATAGGTGAGCAGGCAAAATATTTAAAAATCAAGATGCAATCACTTCATGCTTTGAGTAATAAACCAAAAATTAAGAATTCCCACTAGAAAGTCCTTAAAATTAAGCCAATGGACCTCTTGTTAAGTTACTAATTGATTTGAACAAGACATATTTAACTTCAAGTTTATTTATCTTATGATGATGATGATGATAATGGATTGCTCCTTAACGTCCATCGGCAAATTGACATGCATATTCAGGACGAGAACATATTATTTTTATATGAACATTAACCTTGCTTTGTACTAGACAGACACGCTGAGCCGGATTTTTAACGTGCTAGTTCACGCAAGAAGACATGTCACCTAACACGGACACACTATTCTGACTTCGAGTCGTGTTTGCTCTTACTCATAAATGCTGCGTGCTTAGCGGAAAAGCAAAAGATACCAATTTCAAAGTCTTTGGTTTGACCCGGCCGTGGTTCGACCCACGACCTCCCGCACTCGAGGCGAACACGCTCCCACGAGACCACCGAAGCGATTATATTTAATAATTATATATATATATATATAAACAAGTCTTAATTGAAAACAACGTTCAAACCTATGATTGCGTTGGATAAAAACCGCAATTTTTATACGTGTGCATGTAAAACAAATTTCTTGGTAGAGGGGTCTAAATACAGCACAAACAACATTTTCCAAAAAACCAAAAAAGTGAAAAGTATATTGTAACAAATCGCATTTGACTAACAGGTCGAACAACTGATGTTCTTAAACCCTGCTGACTGCCAATGACGATTGCCAAATAAATTGACCACGAGATGTAACATGGATCTTAATTATTAATACCAAACAGAAAACAATAAACTTGCGGAGATGATGGTATACCGCAAACATGAGGTGCAAAAATTTGTACACCATATCCGGATTTCGACAATTAATGTCTCTTCAGTGATGTTAGGGATCGAAACGTTATTTGGAAGGCCATGTACTTTACCTCAATTTAGGATAGACTCTTGAATTTTAAAGAGTCGAAATAGGATGAACGGATCATATAAACCCGAAGGAAAATATAATACAAGCCCAAACGAAAAAATATACACAAGTCTAAATCGAAAACAACGTTCAAACCTATGATTGCGTTGGATAAAAACCGCAATTTTTATACATGTGCATGTAAAACAAATTTCTTGGTAGAGGGGTCTAAATACAGCACAAACAACATTTTCCAAAAGACCAAAAAAGTGAAAAGAAAATTGTAACAAATCGCATTTGACTAACAGGTCGAACAACTGATGTTCTTAAACCCTGCTGACTGCCAATGACGATTGCCAAATAAATTGACCACGAGATGTAACATGGATCTTGATTCTTAATTTAATACCAAACAGAAAACAATAAACTTGCGGAGATGATGGTATACCGCAAACATAAAGTGCAAAAATTTGTACACCATATCCGGATTTCGACAATTAATGTCTCTTCAGTGATGTTAGGGATCGAAACGGTATTTGGAAGGCCATGCAATTTACCTCAATTTAGGATAGACTCTTGAATTTTAAAGAGTCGAAATAGGATGAACGGATCATATAAACCCGAAGGAAAATATAATACAAGCCCAAACGAAAAAATATAAACAAGTCTAAATTGAAAACAACGTTCAAACATATACAAGTCTAAATTGAAAACATATATATATATATATATCTCGAAAAATGGCATTTTTGCTTTTGATACAAACTTGGATTAGCAAGAATATGAAGCGAGCCCGCTTTGTGATCCTAAAAAATATTAAGCAGTAAGATCAAAGGGAAACTACAAATTGCCAACGATTGGATATATCAATTAAGATTTGAATGCTTCATTCTAAAAATGTACGCACGGTCAACGCTTTTACAACCCTATAAAATTACTAAAAGAAGCATTCAATACTTATAATTACTTTTTTTTGCTAGGATCATGAAAATACGATTTCTATCAAGTTTTTCATTTTTTACCTGTGCACTTTATTGTGGAAGCTCGTGTCGTCATGAATGTTACATTTCATTTTGAAATGAAGGTTAATTTCAGAATGACGCGAGGTTAGTGTTAGCCAATCAAAATAACGTATTATAATGAAACATACATGTAATGTTATTATTAAAAGATGAAACTTTCATTTTCATCTTAATTTGAAGTGGTCCTCTAGTTAGAATAAATATAATTGCATACATGAAAAAGCATGCATATCTTTTAACATATCAAATTTCTACCTTTTGAGGATAAAATAAAGAGAAAAATTAATGATTTTTTTTGCACAATCCGTCTTTATGTCCCTCATACTAAATCAAGTAAACCTCTGTTGTTTATATAAAAAAACTTAAATACACACATTGGGATACTGACGTAAAAATCATATCTAGACAACAAACCAACATTCTTTACCCCTTCCAATTATACGATTAGAAAAGAAAATGGCGAGAAAGGAGTTAAGTAAAGCTATCTTACTTCTGGAATGGTCACGTTAATATTGTCTGGAATTTTTACTGGCAGGAAATCAATGCTCCAATGAGTTCCATACACATATGATTTGCTGTCACAGCCCCATTTCATGGTTTGGTCCATCTTAGCGTACATTATTCTAGCTTTTCAAATAAATAAAAATATCTATAATATTGTCACCACATATAAAACAAGTAGAGATTCGGTTAACGACAATCACACGGAAATCGTTAATTTTTTAAGTAGTTTGGGATCTGTATTTCCAAAACAGTATTTGAATTTTTATTATTTGCAAGTGATATTAACCAACTCCATAGGCATTCTTGTTTTAGATAACTCCATGTTTTGGCATATTTAAAATTCAAAGCTGCCACATTGTATTCTTTATATGTACTATGGCGTAAAGAAGAAAGAAAGAACAATACTTAGAATCATTGAGTATAGGTATATGCAATAGTAGTTTACTGAGCTTCAACTACAAATCTAAAAAATCTATTTCAAAGAAACAAAACAAAGTAATAGACATAAACTGGGAGACTTGCATGAACTCTAAAAGGAGCGAGACTGGGTGCGTCGACAGGGTAAACGTCTCCTACTATGCATGCATCACCCGCCATGCCAATCCACACTCAGTAAACATATCATACAATCAGGGATATAACACAAACCTTAACAAAACTAGGTTTAATCCAGGTGCTCCTGAAGGGAAAGCTGTTTATATTGTTCAACTTGTGGCACCCTTCAAGCTGCTCATTATAAGTAGAAATTGTTAACAAGTTGCGGCGTCATCTTTTGAACACACACTTCATTTTATATTGAAATGGAATCTATAAAACTTTCGAAAAAATTACTTCAACTTTTTCATTTAACAAAGTTTCAGTACTAGTATCATTGTATATCACAACTTTTTATCAAGGATACCCTGATAGGAAACACAAACTCGTATAATTGGAGTAAATATACTTTATACGCAGTTGCTACTGGAAAGGTGCTAAATAAATACATCACTTCGTCCTCCGACTCATGCTAAACTATAAACACATTTCAAATTTGTATCCATTATACAAAATGTGCAAGTACTCCTCATTCTGAACTTTGAGACAAATAGAAAAAAATAGACCAACTGTATTTCATTTAACAACATGGCAACTGTTGATACAAATATCTTGTTTTAAGAAAGGACAATTCATACTTTGTAAATACGCCCTTTGATTCAAACAAACATCTTTCTGAAAGTGACATCTTAAAATGCTTGATTTGTTATTGACAAAATTTATTATGTTGGACGTACTCGTATGTGGTTGACTTCACAAACCAACACCAAAATGAGAACGATAAGAAGCCAACACTATCTTTTTAATGCCACATACCGCTATGTTGGTGTTGATCTCACTCAATAATTTATGGTGACTATGTTATTCGCATCTATCCCTTTGAACATGGTGTCATCTATACATTTTGCTATATATGTTTACTTGCATCTAAAACTGACATTAAGGGTCTCTTAAAATGTCCTGTACCAAGTCAGGAATATGGCAGTTGTTATCCGACAGTCCGTTTCTATGTATGTTGGCGTTTGATTTTGTTGTAATTCAGTGTTTCTGTTGTTCCGTTATTTTCCTCTTATAGTTGATGTGTTTCCCTCGGTTTTAGTTTGTTACCCGGATTTGTTTTTGCTTTATCGAATTATGACTATTGAACAGCGGTATACTACTGTTGCCTTTATCTAAAACATTACTACAACAGAGATGATTTAATTAATACCTTTGGGAGCTTTCAATTTCTATTTAACAAAAATCCAGAAGCATTTGCATATAAAAATTATGTGTTTCTAAATTGCTGATGTACTTGTGGTAAATATAAGGAGATGTGTTATGATTGCCAATGAGACAACAATTCACCAGAATTCAAATAAGTGGATATAAGCAATAAAAGCTCACCGTACGGCCTTCAACAATAAGAAAACCCCATACCGTATAGTCGGCTATAAAAGGCCCCGATATTAAACATTAGAACCAATTCAAACGAGAAAATTTACGACCTAATTAATAACAAAATAATTTACAAAAAACAGACAGACAGGAACCAACGACATCCACCGAATAACAGGCTCCTGAATGTGGACAGTCACATACAGAATGTGGCAGGGTTAAATATGTTTGGGTGCGCTCAACACTCTCCTAAACTAGGACAGTGGTGAAACAGCAGAACATAAGAACAAACTGTATAAATCAGTTGCAATTGGCTTAACTCAAAAGATCGGTACGAAGCACAAAAAAAATAGACACAAAGTCCCGATATAAGAGTACTTGCAGTTACTGAAAGCTAGCTCAAAGCCAATTACAACTTATAAATCAACCATGCTCTCCCAAACTAAAATATTAATTAATACACGTCCAACAGATTTAGTGTAAAGACATCATAAACAGTCAAAACTGATGACCTTGATAAGGCTTGTATTTCGTATTTATCATGACTTCCCTGTAAGTGGATGTCGGATAAAGGGTAAGTTATTGAACAATCAGATTTAAGGATGTACTTAGGTCATGTAGGTCAGGTTTAGGAATTTTTGTGAGATGTTCAGACTTCTTGGTTTTTTTCCTACGCTACAGGGTAAAATATTTTGCCCCATAACACCCATTTTTCTTTTCATATAAGACTTCAATAGCTCATAAAAGGTCATTTACCAAAATTTAAGCAGATTCTAGATATCTTTTCAGTCGATTTGAGACCCAAATAATACCAATGCAAATATAAGGTAAAAGTCTGAGTCAGCCTTTACCCGCCCTTTTAAAAAAAAATTAAATATCTCAAAAAGGAGCTCCATAACCTATCAATATTCTTAGCTTATTTTGTTCCTTAACTGATGCTCTTCCGAATATCAATTTTAAATTCTAGATTTTTTAATTTCACCTAAGTACATCCTTAAGAAAGACATGCATGATTATATATTGATATTTGTTTAGTTTTTTTTTTTAATTTCATACTTATTGATTCTTTGTCCAGTTCTGTTAGTGGGACTCCAACAACTTTAAACTCCTTGTCTTCTATACCAAAAAAGATCCTTCCACCTTTATGATTACAAAACGCCGATATGTATTTGTTGATCATGCTGCTGAATTTGCTAGGAACCTTTGCACTTTTTATTTCTTTGAACTGTATCTGATCATTCTCGCTTAGTGTTGACTGTGTCTTTTTATACTCAAAATCTCCTGCAACAGCTGGCAGTTCAGTCAGTGAACCTGATTTGTCATATGTGCGGAGAATATCAATGGCTTGATTGTATCTTACTGCAACAATATCTGTATTTCTGGGAAAATATAGGTACATGTCAACAGAAAAAATATAATTCAACGGTCTTATCCGTAAAAATAAAAGTTCGTCATGGTACTTTCCTTCTAATTCGATGAATTTACTTGAATCATCAAATAATTGTTTTTCCAAATCATTATACCAGTCATCTAAGTCTTTGCCAATTGCCTTTTTCCAGTGGTGATTTTTTAGTTTAACAACACCTCCATCAGAGTTCAGACAAGCACAGATATATTTCATGACAGCTTTGATAATAATGTTCTTGTCTTCTTTCTTTTTATTTTGTAGATAAATATCAACTTCCTCATCAATTTTATCTTTTACATTATCATCTACAATAACAAGTCTTTTAAAACAGATATATTTAATCTTTTGATCACATAAATTAGTTTTGACATGTCTTTACATTTTCACTAATTATAGTTATGGATTTATTATAAATAATTCATGTTCAACAGAAGCTGCACTCCTTACAAAAATTAATAGTTTTGCACCATTTACCAGGAGGCACATGACTGTACTGTGCATTGCTTTTTATTAAGACAGAAGTGGATTTTGTAAGGTACATTTATTTTGTATATCAGGACTGAAACTATTCAGTCATGTAAATGGAATACTTATAATTGTTTTATTTAATAGTATCATCTGCATCTAATTCAAAATATTATAATAATAGTACATTTAAATGTCAATCTAAAACAATTTTGGATGTGAGTATTTTGGGTTTTGTTTTGTTTTTGTCTTTTTGTTTTTTTTTAAACTGGGCATTCCTTTGCGCTTCGGATCTTTCAGGAATATAATCCTGCATTTCTGTTTTATTTCCTCTTCTTTCATCACCTGTTTTTGTTGGCATATCTTCACATGACTTTACACGTTTTGGCTTTGTGTGTGTGTCTTCGTTGTGTGCTTTGAGGGTTTTGTATTAATCTTTCTGTTTTAAGTATACTTAAGGATGTTCGCTCCACTTTTTCAAAATAACAGGCTTTTTGAAAGACTATTATAAATTGATAGTTTTTAAATAACGGAACTTAAACGTACGATTGCCTATAATTGCTTGAATCCACTTCATTTGAACTTTGGTGGATAGTTGTCTCATTGGCCATCATACCACATCTCCTTATTTTTATATTAAAAAACAGAAAAAATGAAAGGTCAGTGACCCGGTTTTTGAGATATAATCAATTGACAATTTGGCGGGAAATGATTCTCTCTAGATTTTTCATACATTTAAAATTGGCACCTTTTTTCTTTCAAAAACTATGAAAAAATAACGACGATTTTATAAGATTATCAAAATTGGCTTTTTAAACTCTATGTAATATAATTATGATAAAGAAAAGGAGATGGTAGTGGGCACATTTTTTTTATTGGCTTTACATGGATACAACTAGAGGATTCCGCATGATTGACTTACCTTTTACATTTTCATTACCTGAATGACGAGATGCTGAATTGTTTAAATCGCTTTGTTTGTCATGTTCGTCTTGGTCAGTATCAACTTTAATCTTATTATGTCCTTTCCGTATTATATCTTCTATGTGTGCTATTTAAAGATACAGAGTTAGAAGAAAGATAATTCTAATTGTGTTAAAATGATAATATCAGAAACTTTACTTGTTTATATGTTTCCTTTTAAATTCTAGTACAAACTGCTAGATGTTAGAAGAATGTCACTTTTCAGTAAAGCAATAGACTTTTCCAATTTTTATTATATATTCCAGCGATTTATCATTGAACTTGTTGAAGACAGTACTTTTCGGTTAAAACACATGCTATCTCCTTAACATATTTAGAATAGACATGTAGAAAAAGAACGCTTACAAAATAGTTACCTATCAAATAAAATGCTCTGGTTGGGGCAGCTGGGTACGACCGCAGAGGTCGAACCATGAACAGTTGGGGAAAGTATGGACACTACATTCAAGCTTGATACAGCTCTGAATTTCGATTGTGATTAAATATTTGACACATCATAGGCTTCTGTCACAGAACAAATGTGGTCAAAGAACTGAAACAGTTGAAATTGGATTTTACCTATTATGGACCAATACCCAAAATTTAAATACATGGTTAAATTCAGCATAGCCAAGTACACCATGAATTTAATTCATTTATTTATTAATGGACCATAATATCTTAGTACACCAAGAATTTAGTTTATTTATTTGTTAATGGACAATATCAGCTAAGTTTTTAAAGGGGTTTGCTTTATAAAAATATATATATATATATATAGAACATTCAATTTATACAGAAAAACAAACAAACAAACCTACCACGAAGTTCTTCAAAAAAAATACAAAAAAAATGAGAAAAAATGAGAAAATATCATTCATCATTAATACAGTGTATTAATAAAGTCTATAAAACTTACCTCTCAAAATATCTTATAATGAACAGTAAATTTCAAACTATATTTATACATAATTTCTAAAACTAGAAATGCTGTATCTATTTTTAACTATGACTCAACTTAAAATTTCTAAAAATTGTGCAACACAGCTCTTAATTTAGATTTTGATTAAATACTTGATAAAGCATAGTTTCTGACACAGAATGAATGTGGTCTAACTACTTAAATAATTTCAAAATGGACATTTACCAATTATTGTCCAATATCCAAATTCTAAATACATGGTTGGAATCAGCATATCAAAGAACCCCAAGAATTAATTTTTTTAAGAAATCCAACAAACTTTAATTTTGGACCCTTTGGACTTCAATGTGGACCAATTAGATAACAGGACTCAAAATCCAAAATCTGAATACATGCTTAAATTCAGCATATCAAAGAACCCCATATATTCATTTTTTGTTAAAATTAAACAAAAGTTTATTTCTGGACCCCAATTTGAACCAAATTGAAAGCTGTGCCCGAAATAAAAAAAAAATTATGTTCTTAGATTCAGCATAACAAAGACCCCCAAGAATTCAATTTTTCTTAAAATCAAACTAAGTTTAATTTTGGATACTTTGGACCTTATAGTGGACCAGTTTGAAAAACTGGGGCCTAAATCCAAAATCTAAAACACTGTTAGATTGGGCAAATTAAAAAACACCAATAATTCAATTTTTGATGAAAGCAAACAAAGTTCAATTTTGGATCCAAATTTGGACCAACTTTGAAAAAATCGTGACAAAATCAAATATCTAAAACACTGTAGGATTAGGCATATCAAAGAACACTAATAATTCAATTTTTAATGAAATCAAATAAAGTTTAATTTTAGACCCCAATTTGGATCAACTTGAATACTGTGCCCAAAATCAAAAATCTAAATACACACTTAGATTCAGCATATCAAAGAACCCCAAGAATTCAATTTGTTTTAATCAAACAAAGTTTAATTTTGAACCCTTTGAATCTTAATGTGAACCAATTTGAAGACAGGCCCCAACATTAAAAATCTAAATACACGGTTAGATTCAGCATATCAAAGAACACCAATAATTCATTTTTTGATAAAATCAAAGAAAGTTTAATTTTGGACCCTTTAGATCTTAATGTGGATCAATTCAAAAACAGAACCCACAATCCAAATTCTAAATACCGGTTAGATTCAACATATTAAAGAACCCCAAGAATTCAAGACTTTGAATGAAACTCCATTGAAATTAGTCTAGAAATAAGCAATTTATACAAAGTATTACAAAAGTATTGTTTTATGCCCCTTTTTTCCGAAACCGTTAGGGTCATCACCCCCAAAATCAATTCCAACCTTCCATTTATGGTAATAACCTTGTGGCACAATTAAATAGCAATCCATAGACTTATGCTCAAGTTATTGTCCAGAAACCAGAAAATCCTAGTTTTTTGGTCACTTTTCGGCCCCGATTCCTGAAACGGTTTGGGCAATGACCCCGAAAATCATCCACAACTTTCCTTATAAAGTATGAAACCTTATGAAACAATTTCATAGAGATCCATACTATTATACACAAATTATTGTCCTGAAACATGAAAAATGCTTGATTTGACCCCTTTTTAGCCCCTAACTACTAAACAGCTAAGACACTAACCTCCAAAATAAATCCCAACCTTTTTATTGTGTTAAGGAACCTTGTGCCAAAATATAAAACAGATCCATGCACTTATACTCAAGTCATTGTCTGTGAACCAGAAAAATAATTGTTTTTGTTAGCCCTTTTTGGCCCTAATCCCTTAACAGCTACTATAATAACCCCCAAAATAAACACCAACCTTCCTATTGTGGTATGCAATCTTGTTCTAAAATTTAATAGAGATCCATAAATTTATACTCAAGTTATTGCCTGCAAACCAGAAAAATAATTGTTTTCGGCCCCTTTTCGACCCCTAATTAATAAACAGTTTAGGCCATGAACCCCCAAAAATCAATCCCAACTTACATTTTTGAAGTATGGAACCTTCTGGTAAAATTTCATAGAAATCTATACTCTTATATACAAATTATTGTCCTGAAACATGAAAAAGCTTGTTTTTGGCCCTAAACAGCTACGACAATAACCCCCAAAATAAATCCCAACCTTCCTATTGTAATATTGAACCTTGTGCTAAAATTTAATAGAGATCCATACACTTATACTAAAGTTATTGTCTGTTAACCAGACAAATAATTGTTTTTGTTAGGCCCTTATTGGCCCCTAATTCCTAAACAGCTATGACAATAACCCCCAAAATTAATCCCAACCTTCCTATTGTGGTGTGGAACCTTGGGCTGAAATGTAATAGAGATAAATATACACTTATACAGTTATTGTCTTAAAACCCGACAAATAATTGTTTTTTGTCCCTTCCTGGCCCCCCTAATTACAAAACAGCTACGACAATAACCACCAAAACCAATCACAACCCTCCTATTGTGGTATGGAATTGTCAATTGTAAACATTTATCTAACACTTCATATGTAAGCTCTCGATAGTAACCTGGATGACAAAGGAGAGAACCATACAAAATATGTTTCATATTTTTCATGTCGGGGCCTATTATAGCTGACTATACGGTATTGGAATTTCTCATTGTTGAATGCCGTACGGTTGCCTATAATTGCTTACATCCACTTCATTTGAACTTTGGTGAATAGTTGTCTCATTGGCAATCACTTACATCTCCTTATTTTTATGTATATTCCATATTACCCGAAACTTTAGCATGGCGGTCGGACCAATCTAGGATTCATGTCGTATAGACAAGGTGAGCAATAATTGCATGGGATTGATTAAGTGAAAAAATAAATACAATTTCTTTTATCTGTATATGTTATATAAAAAATATTCAGTTTTGAGAAAAATTGTATGTCCTGATACAAATCCAATGCTACCCCCCAAAAAAAAAAATGAATGATTGGTGCTCTATGACGTATAGTTATCTCGCTTGTTATATAATAAAAAGCAACAGTTTTAATATATGTGAAAATGGTTTAACTGTCAATTTTTGTTTATTCGAATGTAGCGTTTTAGTCTGGGATATTCGATTGGTCCAAAAGAAATTCAGACGAAACGCGCCACTGGTGTAACACATTATAATCATGGTATCTTTGACGAGTGTTTTAGTACTGATAAGATATAGGGATGATAATGTCAAATGAATTGATGACATATTATGAGCCCATACATTACCAGTTTTATGCATGGACTTACCAACACATTTCTTCGGTATTGCTCCCTTTTCCTTATTATGTTGAATATCTGGGTGAAGAGATATGGGTTCACTTTCACCTCGACTATTCTCAGCTACTACTCCCGTCTCCGTTTGTTCAGATATGTCATTGTATTCATCCAAGTTATTGCTGCTCGAAACACTGTTTTTATGTATCCTGCTCAGCGGAACATCTGTTCCAGGAACATTGTTATCCGTGAAGCCGACATCGGGTGGTAAATGTGTCTCGTTTCTTTCTGCTTGTTTACCATTGTTTTTAGGAGTTCTTTTTTCCATGTTTAAGCTTGAGTCATTACCTGAAATGTAGTGTCAAAAAAAGATGTTCAACAAGATTAAGGTTCTTCCAGACACTTATGTCGTGCAAACTGAAATAGATTGCATACGGTTTCATGTTTCTTATTTTCTTTAAATTTCTATACTTCGGATCGGTAGCACTGATTGTTGCCCAATCGTCTAGCAACCAAATAACCTGTGCTTTGGTACTTGCATGAACTAAAACTATGCATTTCATTAAAAAGTGAAGAATCTCCAAAAGAGAAATAAACAAATGGAGAATGTGTCTATGGGCCACAGATGCCCCCGCTTGTAAATATGCATGAGTCAACTTCGACATATAGATGCAGGATTCATGTAGTTATGACTGTTTTGTGATTATAAGCATTGTGTATAAGTTTCATAACATTTGGTTGAGTCAAACTAAAGTAAGAGAACGGAAACGACGGATTTATCAATTTTTCCAATTGTAAAGGGCATAACTCAAGAACGGTAAAAGTGACCCCACCAAATTTCGAAACTGATCTGTGTTTTGTGGTAATAAGCATTGTGTATAAGTTTTATAACATTCGGTTGAGGAAAACTAAAGTAAGATAACGGAACCGAAAAATTCAGCAAGTTCTGTGTTTATAAAGGGGCATAACTCATGAAAGGTTAAAGTGAAGTGTGTATAAATTTTATAATATTTGGTTGAGGCAAACTAAAGGTAGAGAACAGAAACGAAAAATTCAGCAATTTTTATGTTTATAAAGGGGCATAACTCATGAACGGTAAAAGTGACGCCACCTAATTTCGAACTTGATCTGTGTTTTGTGGTAATAAGCATTGTGTATAAGTTTCATAACATTTGGTTGAGGCAAACTAAAGTTAGAGAACGGAAACGACAGATTTAGCCATTTTTATGTTTATAAAGGGGCATAACTCATGAACGGTAAAAGTGACACCATCCAATTGCGAACTTGATCAGTGTTTTATGGTAATATGCATTGTGTATAAGTTTTTTTAATATTTGTTCGAGGCAAACTAAAGTTAGTGAACGGAAACCAATTTTTGGGGACGTTCGGGACGGACAGACAGACATGGGTAACACTTAATGCCGTCGAGGCGGAGCGGCAAGGGCATAACAAAAATCGATTAAAACAGATGAGAATATGACCAGCTGTAGAGAATGACGAAAAGACAAAGAACAGTGTTCGCAAAAAACAGAGAAAAATACAGGTTTAGACATACGAAGCCACCAAAGATTTGGGTCCTTCGGAATAGTGGTTTATTCTCTAATTTTAGCATCGGTCGTTTTGTTCATGGCAGGTAGATGTTATTTGAGAGCAGCGGAAAAATTAATGAATTGACAGGATAGCGGCTATGACAAGTAAATATCCATTACCATCTGTGACAAATTTCAAATAGATGCTTTTCTTTGTATCCATCGGATGAATTAATCCTTTTTCAACTGATTTTTATAGTTTGTTCTTATGTTGTGCTGTTACACCACTGTCCCAGGTTATGGGGGTGGTTGAGCGCTCACAAATATGTTTTACCCCGCCACATTATTTATTTGCGTGTTCCAAGTCAGGAGCCTGTAGTTCAGTGGTTGTCGTTGGTTCATGCCTGTCATTTTTGTTTTCCGTAAATTGTTTTGTTATAAATAAGGCCGTTTTTTTTATCAATTGAATTGTTTCATATTTTTATAGCCGACTATACGGTATGAGGTTTTCTCTCGCAATTCGGACGCAAGAGGTTTAACAGTGTTTTTTTTCATTTTGTTTACACTTTTTTCATATTTTATTTAGTTTGAACTTTATCGAGAAAGTGTATACTAAACACTGTATGTACTATCAACAACTAAAAACTTTTTTGTTGGCGTCTTTGTTAGATTCATTTGTAGATTTGTTTGAATTTTTTAGTCAGCTGTGTTGTATATCTGTTATGTTTGCTGACACAATATTGGCCGCTTGATCCCTATTAATGTCATATTAACCTTTTATGTCTGCTTGGGTTGCTCGACCACATTTGTCAATATAACAGAACCATAAACAAGTGTCATACAAATGAGAGGTTTAGCTAGCTATATAAAATGGTTTAAAACATTTTCTTCGCAAAATGTCTGTACCAAAACAGGAATATGTTATCAATTCGTTATGTTGGATGATAAAGATTAACGTTTGATAGTGTCAGATTTTAGGGACTCCCCCCAATTTGAATTCACCTTTAAATTTGGTATTTTTGTTATACTTTTTAAATAGGTTCTTCAGATTTAACCAAAAAACCTCAAAGAAATATTGATTAGAAAACACAAACACTAGGATATTGTACCTACTGGAATTATATACACTCTTGGAGTATTGCGCTGCTGGAATATTGCTACACAGAAATGGAAAATTCATAATCTGGAAAACTGAAAACCTCTCTCTTGTCTTTTAGTAATCTTGGTCCTCAATGCTCTTCAACTTCGTACTTTATTTGGCCTTTTTAACTTTTTTGGACTCGAGCGTCACTGATGAGTCTTTTGTAGACGAAACGCGCGTCTGGCGTAAATACAAAATTTAAATCCTGGTATCTTATGATGAGTTTATTTGACATTAAGTTTAGTTTTCAACCGACCCTCATAAAAATAATTTGTCAATTACTAGATGCAAGTCAAGATATAAGCAGGCCTTACTATATATGTGAGATCCTTTATTTTATTTGTTTGAAGGAGTACATGAGTACATCAACTACATACATGTAATCACCAAACTTTGAATGAATCGGTAAAAAAAAAGTTTCATCTTAAAAACTTTTTCGTCTGCTTGAAAAGATCCTTTATGAAGTTTTCGTCCTTTTTATAAACAAACAAGACCGCTATCAGAGCTTGACATGCGCACTGGCTTAAACAAAAGGAAACTGTGTATAAGCACGGCATCTCTTTTTTTCTATGCATTTCATACAGTTACACTTAAAACCTCACTGAGATTTTAATTGTATGCCAATGTTTATGTCTAGAACACTTTATGTTGTTCTTATTTCTGTTAAAATTGAAATGCTCCGCTGGGCGCAGCTTGAAACGACCGCAGTGGTCGAACCTTGAACAGTTCGGCAAGTATAGACCCTACAATCAAGCTTGAGACAACTCTGAATTTGGATTGACATGTGATTAAATATTTGACACAGCATAGGTTTCTGACACACAATGAATGTGGTCAAAGATTCGAAAAAATTGAAATTAGAATATTACCTATTATGGTCCAATATCCAAAATCTAAATACACGGTTAGTTTTAGCATATCCAAGTAAAATGTACACACAGACTTTAATTTATTCATTTATTAATGGAAAATATTAGCTAAGTTTTTAAAAGGGTTCGCTTTTAAAAATTATATTTATATATATGGCATTCTGAAATTAATTTATACATATAAAAAACAAACGTACAACGAGGTTCTTACAAAACATCCAAAAAAAGAAAATATTTTTCCAAAATATAATTCATCGTTAATACATTGTTTTTAAAAAATCTATAAAAGCTGTAATTATTTTTCAAAATATCTAATATAATTATGAACAGTAAATTTCAAACTGTATCTATACATAACTTCTTCACTAGAATTAGATTTGATGCTTTATCTATTTTCAACTACGACTCTACGTCTTTTAATTGTGCAATACAGCTCTAAATTTGGATTTTTATTAAATATTTGGCATAGCATAGTTTTTGACGCAGAATGAATGTATTCAAAGAACTTAAAAAAATTGAAATTTGATATTTACCTTTTTTATGGTCTAATATACAAAAACATCAATACATGATTAGTGTCAGCATATCAAAGAACCCCTTGAATTCAATTATTGTAAAAATCAAACTAAGTTTGTTATAATTTTGGACCATTTGGATCTTCATGTGGACCAATTTGAAAACAGGTCCCAAAATAAAAAATCTGAATACAAGGTTTGTTTTTAGCATATCAAAGAATTCTAAGAATACATTTTTCAAAATCATACAAACTTTAATTTTGGACCCTATGGACATCAATTTAAAAACAGGGCCCAAAAATTCAAAAACAAGGTTAGATTCAGCATATTGAAGAACCCCAAGGATTCAAAACTTTGATTTAAACTACATTGAAATTGTTCAATGAATAGGCAATTTATACAAAGAATTAGAAAAGTATTGTTTTGGCCCCTTTTTCCTTAAACCGATAAGGCCATGTCCCCAAAAATCTATCCCAACCTTTCTTTCTTTTTGTATGGAAACTTGTGGTACAATTTTAAAGGGATCCATAGACGTATACTCATGTTATTGTTCGGAAACCGAAAAAAACTAGTTTTGTGGCCCTTTTTGGCACCTTATTCCTAAACGGTTTAAACCATGACCCCCAAAATCAATCCCAACATTTCCCCTTAAGTATGGAATCTTGTGGTACAATTTCATAGAGATCCATACGCTTATACACAAGTTATTGTCCTTAAACAAGAAACATGCTTGTTCTGACCTCTATGTTGTCCCTAATTCCCAAACCGTTAGAACAATAACTCCAAAAATCATTCTAAACTTTCCTTTTGTGATTCGGAACCTTGTGGTATAATTCCATAGAGATCCATACACTTAATAATACACAAGTTATATTGTCTGTAAACTAAATTTATTCGGACGACGACGCTGACAACATCATAACAGTATACAACTGCAAACATTTTGCGGTTTTATAAAAAGGTCACATATGGTAAATGTTATTTTTGTACAATCTGTATTATATTAATTATTTATTTGTTACAAGGTTAACCTGTATCGATTTAAAATCTTATGAAGAAACTAACGTTACATGTAAAATAGTCACAAGTAAACGACGAACAAACCGTTTATCAAAAAAAGTAAGTGCTGTAAAACGAAAGCTTTCTTAAAAAGATGATAACCAATTTTAAAACTAAGAGTATCTCATTTCATTTTAATAATCGACTTACCTTTAATTTCATCCACTTCTGTTCCAGATACAATGCGATGAGCGCCATCCGTCTGATTTTGATTACTGATTCTGTCGCCGTCTTTATTCATTGCTGCAAATGAGATAAAAGGGGCGTTTCTAATATAATTACACCTTATTTAAGAATCCTGGGTTTTGATTGGTTAATAGCCAGTGTATTTTTCACCAATTTACTGTTATCAAATGAATATCGTTCATTTTTTAACGCCGCCGGGGTATATGCAAAAAGGAAATGCCTTTTTTACCCTCTCTGCCATGGTATTTGCCAAAAAATACTCTATCCGACTGGACGCTTGTAACGTCACGATCATCAATGCGTTTTTGAACGTTAACATTCGGTGTAATTAAACAGATATAGCATGTTCTTGAGGAGTATTTGCGAAAAATACCAGTCTTGAGAATTATTTTCCCTCGCCTTACGGCTCGCGAAATTTAACATTCTCCCGACTGGTATTTTTTAGCAAATACCCCTCCTTAACATGATATATCTGTTCAGAAAGTTATAACTGTAATCAATGAAAATGATCAAAAAGTAATCACAGTAAATCACAGTTATCACAGTAAATGATCAAAAAGTAATCACAGTAAATCACAGTAATCACAGAAAATGATCAAAAAGTAATCACAGTAAATCAAATTTATTTTGTGAATAAATAAAAATCAACAACATGCGTGGTATTTGAAAAAATCTAAATACAGCTTTTGAAAAGATACATCATCTTCTTGACGGACATTTGCTAACAATACCAATCGATAGAAGGAATTCTTTTCAAGACTTTCATTGTTTGCAAATTTTCCTCCTGAACTTTATATGCTTGTTTAAATATACCAAATTTCTTTACAGTAAATTGTATTTCGTCACTATTAACCCTAGCTTTTTGCACCGACTCCATGTTAAGCAATCAATAATCAATCAACCTATCATTTTGCTTTCAGGACGTACGGAACCAACATGGTATTATCCGATCCGGGAGAATGGCTGGCGAACAAGCAACATGACGTCTCATTTCAAAGGACCGAATCTCAGGCGCGTAGCTAAATTTACAACAAAACGCCTAGGGAGCTCATTCACAAAGCATCCGTTAGCTAACGGACCCTTTAAGATCTCCGTTAAGTTTCCGCTAATTTTGATTCGTATTCACAAAGCCTCCATTAATAAACGCTCCCGTTAACGTCTCCATTAAGTGTTCCGTTAAACCAGGTAATTAACGGGTGTGTTGACGTATCCGTTAAACGGGCACTTTTGTAGAGTGTATTGTATATGAATTGGAAATTGGAATTTACAATATATATCTTATATGCATTACGAAATCGAATAGGAAATTATTTCAATGAAAACTGAAGAACAGCTGGGACTATTATACTATTAGTATATAATTTTTAACATTCATAAAAAAAGCAAGGTTTAAAATATTTGAGTTTAGTATTGAATTTTTCTGATTGTTTTCTCTTTATCTCTAGTTTTCTTGATTCTATTTTTTTTTGTCAGTCACTGTAATATTAAACATCAATCATAAAATATTATTCACTGTTAAAACAAAGGTAGCATGCAATGTAATTTTAAAGATTATGAGTCCCTGACTCTGTTCTTAAAACCGTTTTTAACTTAAACACATTGATTTCTTATAATATATGCAGAATTATGGTAAATGTTTTCAGAACAGAAAATCATCATTAAATTGAAAATGGTTAAGGTAGATGGGGGGGAGGGGTGTCTAAACTAAAATCCATAGAATTTTTTAATAATTTGTCAAAAAGTAGTTTATGTCATGCTTTTTTTCAAAAATATAATAAAAAGTATTGGTCACCGGGCTTTTTTTCGAGCTACAGGTTGTGCAAAATTGTCATATTTTGTATAGATTATGCATGGAAAACCCATTTTTTTATGATAAAAAGAACACTAAACCATAAAATTTTAAGATTAAATATGAGAAGATAGCTCTAATAATATGCTTTCCGATAAGAAAAAGAAAAAGTGGGGTCACCAAACTCGTTTTCTTGCTACATCATAGAATAGGTAAATTCATAACACATTCTATTGTAAAAGTTACTTTGTTTGAGTTATCTCCCCTTATGTGGCACAGTTGAAAAAAATTGAATGAAAAAAAATATTCTATTTTTTTTGTAAAATACAGCCGTAAAATATGATAAAACACATAATTTTCTATATTAACACAAAAAGTCTTACACATGAATTACATACTACTCTCGAAATTTGCACATTTCATTAAAAATCTAGACCGATTGTTATCTGCTTTTCAAAATCCAAGATGGAGGAAGACACCCGAGCCACCTTAAATCTGACCAACATAGTAATCTGTTTTTGTGACTTATTAAGAAAATATAACATTGTCCTTCGCTAAATTACAGTTACAAACTAGAAAAAGTCAGTTTTAAAGCCAAAGAGTATCTTTTTTCTCAATCATATTTTCTCTAAAAAAAAAACCAGTAAAAAATGTCCACCCCTTTAATCCGGTCGATTAACTTCTACGGAAACTACTTATTGTATTTATCTATAATTTATTTCTCTTTCTGAACATGCATGAGCTATTTGCCACTGGATGTAAATTAAACTATCAATCAAATTCCCTTTGTATCGGAGTGATTGGTCTTTTTTTAAATTGCTAAGTAACAAGTTATTATAATAAAGCTAAAGGTTTCAAGGTTGTCAATTACCGTTTTTTCATAGGATCGTGATATTTGTTTTACATACCAGACGGGAAGTGTTGTCTTTTTCATTTAATTCTTCATAATCAGAAGGGAATGTAGACATTAGATCGCGTTAACCGATTCCTTAAAGCACGATTTTTAGTTATGGTCTGAACAAGTTTAGGGATACTATGGTGTCTGACTAATTGGTAGTGATGTAGCTTGCCTTCTTTTATTACCGAGGCAATGGGTTTTCAATGTGTCGAAATTCGTATCGAGTAAAATTTCCCCTTTGCTCAGGGGAACGTAATAAGATATCTTTTAGGACCAAAATTTGTGCATTCTATATTTTTTCAGCTAAATGTTTTAGTCTTCTGCATATTGTAGTACTCAATATACATGCCATTGATATAGATCTGTGTACTATGCAAGTTATTTTGAAACATGCTTGTTTTGGAAAATTTGGGAAAAAATAGAGGTCCTATGTTTAGGGAGTACCACGCTCTTTGCATGTAAAAGATCCTTCTCAACAAACTTTTTTTTAATGGTCCATAAGTGACCGTCTGATTGGTAGAATTATTTCATACTGGTTTTTGATTTGATATAATTATCTGTGGTTTATAATTTAACTATTTGGTAATTTGGTTTTCATGGTCTAACTTTTGTCTAAAATCTGTTAGTATAGTTGAGACTTTTTTTTCAATAAAATTGAGAATGAAAATGGGGATTATGTCAAAAAGACAACAACCCGACCAAAGAGCAGACAACAGCCGAAGGCCACCAAAGGGTCTTCGACGCTGTGAGAAAATCCTGCACCCGGAGGTGGTCCTCAGCTGGCCCCTAAATAAAATTGTGTACTAGTTCAGTGAAAATGGACGTCACACTTAACTCCAACATACAAATGAACTAAAATTTTAAAAAAACATACAAGACTAACAAAGGGCAGATGCTCCTGACTTGGGACAGGCGGGGTTAAACATGTTTTATGAGAACTCCCCCAATACCTCTAGCCAGTGTAGAATAAAAAAACACATAGCAATACGCACAGTAAAACTCAGTTTAAAAGAAGTCCGAGTCCAATGTCAGAGAAGGTAACAAAAGAACTAAGCACAATGGCAATGATACATATATTAACAATTAAAGGACTACTAGCAGTTACTGACATGCCAGCTCCAGACCTCCATCGATTTTTATAGTGCGTCCTTTTATGTCGTATTGATACACCACTGTCTCAGGTTAAAGTGAAGGATGGCGACAGATAAAAAGTTCAAACCCGCTGCATTTGTTTGCACTTGTCCTATGTCAGGAACCTGAAGTTCAGTGGTCGTCGTTTTTTATGTGGTTCGTAAGATAACAAACAAACAAATATTTTATTGCTAATCACAGCGCCCACAAGGAGCAGAACAACATACAATAATTTCATACTAAAGATTACAAGAGATTCAATTTGATAAGGCACACTGTTAACGAAAATACTTATTAGACAATATGGAGAATACAACAAGCACAGTAGTTAGTTTTTTGTTAATAATATAACTGGGTAACGAGGGGGAGCACTGGACATTTATACAACTATTTATTATTTAAGGAAACTTTTCTATGAGAGGATAAATTTTCCAATGATTATCCGAGTTTGTGGAGTATAAAAATATCTTCAGAAGATACATGTTTAAGCCAAATAATTTGTGATTTAATATCTAAACTGCAAAAAATTTATAACCGTTGTTTTATTTCATATAAAAAAGTTAAGACACATATTTGAAAGTTTATGGCACTGAAGAAGATTTTTTAAACGTATATAGTATATCAACATATCTAACAAAATCTCCAAAAATATCTGCCCAGTTCACCAGTAACTGCAATATTTTTTTGCTTTTATACTTGCCCCAAGTATAAATTTACAAAAGTTTAAATGAGCCTTCTCTATACTGCCAGCTCTTTTTCAAAGTTTTTTGAAATAGTGACCACCTGGAGTGTTTATTTTGTTATAGTTAATTTCATCCCATATTTTACTGCCATTCATTAAGACAGATTTAAGTGTTTGGTCAAAAACATGAAGTAGATTTTTATTTTTCAAAAAATTGGTTAGTGACCTGAGAAACATTTTTTTAGTTTATAAAAGGCCTTTAGCCCCTAATGGTACATTTCATGTTTGACATCTGTAAATGTGCCTTTAATGCTAAATCTTACATCCAAGTATATATTTTTGTGTTCATAAGTTGGGTATTATTTAAATGAAACTGAATAGAAAGAAGTCTACCGGAATTGCTTAAATTCATGACTTGGGATTTGTTAATATGAGAGTTTCTCGTTTTTATTAGACCGTTGGTTTTCTTTTCTGTTTGAAGGGTTTTACAGTAGTCATTTTTGGGGTCCTTTATTGCCTGTTTTTTTGGTGTGCGCCAAGGCTCCGTGTTGAAGGCC